AGGAAAGGAGAAATACAGACTTTCTGAATTCAAAGAAACGTTATGGCCACGTATTTAATCCAAGAAAGGTCAAGAGACTTTTTCTAAAGCAGGAAGGGCTTTTGGAACAAGATAATTAGAAAAAGGCCAAAGAGTTTCCCCAAAGTCAAATGTTTTTTGCATATTATATGTATGTGACAGTAAATTTTGTTCCTAAAGATCATGTAAATAATTGATTTTTTAATGGCTCAATTAGGACTGAAGAAAAAGATTCAGAAGAGGATGCCCTGTGGCCATGGTACCTATGTTTTACCGTCAGAGAAGGTCCCACCCGCAGCAATGCTGGGGAAATGTAGAGGGCAGATGGCTAAGTCTCTACGACAATGGAGGAGGCTGCCTGATCTAGGGTAGGTCTGTGCTTCTTTAGGGGCAATTCACCATTTCTGTTCACACAAACCCAAGATACAGGAATGTTCTCTAAGTGTATCACAAATCCTTAACAATGTCGATATGGTTTGTCTATGTCCTCAACCAAATCTCATCTCTAATTGTAGCTCCCATAATTCCCACATGTCATGGGAGGGACCTGGTAGGAGGTGATTAAATAATGGGGGCAGGTCTTTCCCATGCTGTTCTCATAATAGTGAATAAGCCTCACAAGATCTGATGGTTTTATAAAGGGGAGCTCCCCTCTGCACACTCACTCTTGCCTGCCACCATGTAAGATGTGCCTGTGCTTCTCCTTTGTCTTTTGCCATGATTGTGAGCCTCCCCAGCCATGTGGACCTGTGAGTCCAGTAAACCTCTTTCCTTTTTAAATTACCCAGTCTTGAGTATGTCTTTATTAGCAGCGTGAGAACAGACTAATACTTTTAGTACCAGCTGCAGCATTGCTTCATACTCTAGTTTGTGCTTCCATAGAATGGGGTAACCTTGCTCAATTTGCATATTAAGACTAGAGATCAGAAGCGCATGTTAGGGGCAGGGTTGGAGGTGGGCTTCTTGTATTCTTTTTAACATCTTGCTGGCCCAGAAAATTCTTTGTTTTTTTAACATATATAATGAAAGCCAAAATACAGAAGTGTTCATAAACAAGTCTAATATGCTTTCACCTGAAAAAAAAAAAAAGTAGTTGAACTACTATGGTTGGCACAGGCAGTTTAATATATGTGTCTCTGCACCTACCAGTCCACATTTTGCTTAAAGGATATTGACATTTCTCCAGATATAAATATTCATGGGATACCTACATGATTTTACCAGATGAGGAACAAATGAATTTGCCAATGAAATATCCCAATCTTCATTATGGAAGCTAAATGGTACAACTCAATCCAAAGTTTATATATTCACTTTCTGGCACCAGTTCCCTTTCTTAACCACCAAATACAGGGCCATCAGCTGGTAACTCTGTATCTGGGCATCAGCCTTACTATACCACACTTTAAAAAAGGCTAAAATGGAATACCACAAAAAGTCACGATAAAAATTAATTTGTTTTTTGGATATAACCAGGGAAAATTGAAGTCTGGGTAAGCTTCAAGAACCCATTTTTCTCTGTTTTTATGGGAAAAACTTACTCTTAAATGGAGAGTAGTTTTCTTTCTTTTCCAGAACTACTGGGGATATTATTTCAGTTCTAAATGAATTGGGAACCATGTGGAAAGGATCTTAGAAAGGGAACCCTTTCTGCTTATTTAAAAGAGGTAATGAAATTGGTAGTTTCTGGTTTAAAAAATAATTTCCAATAGATATGTTCTGTTTATTTAGCTCATTCAAGTCAGAAATGACCTAGAAATATAAATGCTGTATAGCTCCTGGAAAAGATATAAAGCCAATTGACTAGAAATCAAAAGATTGATCATTTTAAAAAATGAGCCTAAAAATTTTTAAGTTGGTCATCAAAAGACATCTTAAAGAAAATAAAAGCCTAAGTGTGGGTTATGGTGAAGGTCTTAGATTTTGCAGGCAAGAGGGAGTTTGGCTGCTTATTATACCACTAAAAATTACTAATTAAGTAACTGATTAAAAGAAGAGAGAAACAGTACTCTCTGGCATGCAGAAAACATTATCTAGAAAAATAATCTGAGTGTTTATGTCACATAATTTAAACACCAAAAACCTTAAAAGCAAACTACAACTTGGCATATTTCACTTAAAATTAAGACTCATAGGAAGATGCTTTTTTCAACAATTTCAAAAGTCAAAATCTATCACTGGTTTTGTATTCCAAACTATGATTTTTCTTGAAGATTAGTTTTCACACTTGAGAACTGTGAAAACAATATTCTTTCTTGTGTCCCAAACCCTGTTTATCAGCTCTAAGACATATATAAACACAATGAACCTAACGGCTATTTCCATCCTAACAGGTACAAGTGCAATATGTCCAACCCCAAGACAATTAAGTGTAAGTCAAATTCTCTACATAGTACGTACAATGTTTGTTCCATCAACAGGTTTGCCTGTGCCAGGGGCAAATAGATGTTCATATTTCTAGGTACAAAGAGGTAGTTTGAAAGCTGCTGTGTTCAACAATCATATATCTTAACCATAAGTCCGGCTGTTATAGTAAATCTTTTTAAAGAAATGCATTCAAATCATTGTCTTACTAAAAGCAGATTCCAGATTCAAAACTGAAGACAACATTACTCTCCACTGGCAAACACATTACCCATTCCACTATTCTTAAACAGAGAGACACCAATCAGAAAGAAAGTATTAAGAACCTTAAAATGGGTTAAAATCAAGTGGTAGAAAAGAAAACCAGACACACCTGGGAACCCAGGTAAATATGTAAAACCCAGCAGCTAAACGTAGTTTAAATCTATAGTATAAAGGAATGAGTGCATAAGCTTTTATTGCAAGACAATATTCCAAATTAATTTGTAAAATGAAATAAATCCTTTTTGTCTGCAAGCCTGAATTTAAAATTAAAGCAAAGGGATAGATGAAATGACCTCTTGAACTGTATTTTAATTCATCTCTTAACATCGGTCTTATCTAAAATGCAACTGTGAAAATAGAGGCGGTGTTTTAAAAAATGCCTAAGCAGCTGAACTTAATTAAAAGAAAGAAAGCGCTCAATAGATGGCCTGGATTACAAAGATAATAACACTTTGATGTCACAGATAGAATCAAAAAGAACAATTGCACAAGTCCAGGAAAAATGATCCCCTTTCTCTTCTATATTTTCTGGAGTTTTGTGGTGAGAAGACTTAAAAGAACTGCATGATTTTTTTAAATTCTGTTTTTGAAAGTGATGTACATTATTATATTAAGTTAAGGCTAGGCATGGTGGCTCATGCCTGTAATCCCAGCACTTTGGGAGGCCGAGGTGGACAGATCACCTGAGATTAGGAGTTCAAGACCAGCCTGGCCAACATGGTGAAACCCTGTCTCTACAAAAATGCAAAAATTAGCTGGACATGATGGCAGGTGCCTGTAATCCCAGCTATTTGGGAGGCTGAGGTAGGAGAATCGCTTGAACTTGGGAGGCAGAGGTCACAGTGAGCTGAGATTGTACCATTGCATTCCAGCCTGGGCGACAGAGCAAGACTCCATCTCAAAAACAAAAAAAGTTAAGTCCTTCACACTTATCTATTGATTTAGTCCTCACATCAACTCTGCGGAACAGGCACGACTATTATCATTCCCATTTGCAATCAAAAAGTATGGCCCGCAAGGGCTGTGTGATTTGCCCGGGGTGTCACACAGCAAAGAAGTAGCAAAGCCAGGATATGAACCCAAGTAATGTGTCTCTGTAACCTATGTTTTTAACCACAGGGCTATACACTGATTTCAGGAAGGCACTCTATGTTACGTAAATTTAGAAAGCAAAGGGGAAACGCTTGTAACATAAAGCAGCATCTCTGCAGGGTTTGCCCCTGCTGTGCCCACAGCTAATCTGTGCTGTTTGTAACATCTCCAATTATTTGTCTAGGACGTTTTTCCCTCCCAAATAAGTGCACTTTCATATTGAAGCAGCCCATGTGAAAGGCATCCTTCTTACAATAATTTTACACCAATGTTATTGTGTTACTGACATCACAAGAAATTCCAAACCCATGTTTATTCATTTGATGTTTTGCAATTAATTTCCTGGAGGACATTTATTCATTTTTTGAAAATCTATTTAGTGTTTATTATATACCAAGCACTATTCTGAGCAACAAAGCTCCCAACTTCTGGCAATTTAAATTCTTTTATTTTAACTCTTAATACCACTCAGTAATTAAATTCTTAGCGAGAGAAAATAGACTATAATAAAGCAACATAGGTTCAGATACAAAAAAGTGCTTTATAAAAGTAAACAAAATCATACAAAGAGTAACCATATGTGGGGGCAAAGGGTAATATTACTGTAATGGCAATAGTATGAAATTACCAATTAAAAATCTTTCTTTTAAAGCATATTATTGCTTTTGTTCTAATGGCATTCAAATTAAAGACCCAATTACAGTTCATATAATGAAGTGTTTACAATGCATTTTTAGATAAACATATTTATCAACATAGTCGGTGAAGACACAAAAGATGGAGGTGACAGAGATAACTTTTTCTGCCAGGTAAACTCCTATTCATCCTTC